GGAAGACTTAGGTTACTTGTTTTTGAGTAAATACTCGAGGAACTGATCATTATTAAAAAGACTGATGACAAATTGTTCATGTCGTCAACAACAATCATAACGAGTTTGACTTTTGCTATATATAAAAGGATTAAAAAATATTTTTCAAGATTTATAAGTTTGTAATTCCAATCTGATTTAGCTAGTTTGATTCCTAAACGTAAAAAATAGAAAAAAAACAGGTCGTGGAAAAATTCGGACTCAATATTCAAATCCTGAGAGAAGTGTTTATTTTCGATTAGATATGATTAAAATCAGTGTACAAGTAAAAGTTGATTGAAACTAGGTCAAAGATTTAAAATATAACTGGGATGACACATTCTAGATATTGTGATCATAGGTCATTTTATTTCTCCTCATAAATAGCAGAACATAAGATGCTAGGTAGATACTACGCTCGGTTAACTGGATACTTGCATATAGGTTATATCTTAGATATGGTTTTCGAATAGTTTGCAGAGATGTCCATCGCGGCGCTGGCGCTGCCGCGATGGCGGTGGCGGTAGGTTTTTTAAAAAATCACCGCAGCAGCGGCGCGGTAGCGGCAGATTTTTTTAAAAGTCATCGCGGCAGCGGCAGGTTTTTTAAAAAACCATCGCGGCAGCGGCAGGGTTTTTTCTGGAGGACATTGAAAAACTGTATGAATTTAATAGAATTTCAGGATTTACAAATGAAACGCCCTGATATTGAATAAATCTGATGGACTAGTACCCATATCTCTGGTCAAATATAGTCACAGCAGTGAAATTAGAAACACTTTTTTGAAAACCGTTGCGGCAGCGGCGCGGTGGCGGCACGTTTATTTTATAATTCATCGCGGCAGCGTTTCTTTTGTAAGTCATCGCGGTGCGGCAGCGTCGCGGCAACATTTTTTTATAAACCGTCGCGGCGCGGCAGCTTTTTTTCTAAGGCTGCGGCGCGGCAGCGGCAGATTTTCAGCCGCGATGGACATCTCTGATAGTTAGATATCTTTCTCAATACTATTCTAAATATGCTGATGCTTATCAAATGGCACTTCCACTATAAGTAACTTTAATATATAGCAATATTTGTGTCGCATTCTTCCTTAATAATTGTGATGTTTTCTTTTTTTTCATCCTTCTGTTTATTGTAAGAAAATGGAATAAAACTGTATGTTGGAAAAGACTAATCTAGTTGTCGTTAAAAATAAACATTAGATATAATTTGAATGAATACATCTTTTGAATATAAAAATAAAACATATCTGCTTAAAATATACAATATTTCTTTCACTATTGAAAACGTGAAGAATGCCTTAAATTTCCATGGAAATTTTCATTAAGATAGAATAATTTGATTTAATTCTGTTCAATGAGTCTCATCCGAGTCGAGTCTAATCCGAATTGTCTATTAAAATTTTCCCATTTGTGTATTTCGTTTATTGCTAACTATGGAACTACTTGAATTTTTAACCATAATTTGAACTTAATTATGACCTTTTTACTAAGTTTTAAATCCTTTTTTTAAGTAGTCGCTGAAACAATCAAATAATGGAATTTCGACCTTAAGTCTTGGCTGTAGATAGGCTTAATGTTGTTTTTGTTTATCCTGGAAGTTTAAGCCGTAAAAAATAGAAATTCAATATTTCGAGAAACAAGAATTTATTCGGGCTAGCGCTTTGAAGATATTCTAAGGATCATTAGACTTATGTAGAAACAAAGTCTGAGATCGAATTTGCTTTCTTCGAGTTTTCCATCAATGCCTAAAATGAGCGGAAAATTCAATACAATAGTTACAACTTGGCACAAAAGGTCCATGAGGACGAATCTTTTTACGTTTTCTTCTAATCTTATTAAAGCCTGCTCATCAGCTCAGTATGAGCTCAAACAATGGTCATACAAGCTTGCTTGTTGTTAAGGGCGGTCTCTTTTCTTTCATCTATCTTTCTTCATCATCTTGTTTGCATTAAAAGCAGTTCGCTTACCACGTTGCCTATTCTTCCTCCCATTTGGTCTTCTAATTTCTTTGATGTTATCGTTTTTTTATTTCTTAGAAAAACGATTAATAGTCGAAGGATGAAGAAGTTACACTCATGCTTATTTCTCATTTTCGTCGCAAGCAAGAATAGCAAAAACTAAGATATGTTTGAATAGACAGCAACTGAGCTTATCACAAAAATGATTTTTTGTATGTGAACTGTTTCAAAAGAATAATCGCTTTTTACTAGCAAAAGTTTATTTTAATAAATATCAGACGATTTTAACAAGAGGTTCCTCAAAAATAGTAAAAAATGTACATCTATAGAACCAAAAATTCAATAGATAAATTGATTTCATTGGAATAACACCGTTGAACAGCTTGTAGTTTTCTATTCTTGCTATGCATCGTTCCACATGAATCTGATGACGTGCAATAATGTGTTTCGACGACTTTTTTTGGAGACCGTTGTGATTTTCCTTTCAAAAAATGGTGAATGAATGAGTGATAAATGTGAATGTTTAGGATCAAGAGCAAAGGCCCGATCAGAAATTATTTGATCGCCATTTTCCAATAAATCTATCAGGCTTCCAGCACCGATAATATTCAGTAGAGCTCAATCTGATGTTACACCACCATAAAGAGGTGAAATGTATGATACTATATCATTTAGTGTAATACCAACGAGTGCTGCAAACGAAACAAAAAGTAAGGCAATAAGATGGAGTAAATATTAGATGTGTCGTACATTTGGCGATATTTGTATTTTTCTATATGGACCGTGTATCTTGTTGAGCTTAAGGATTAGCTTGTTGTTCTATTTCAAACTCAGTGTAGTCGACGATTATCTGCACAGATGGAAGATTTTTTTTATTTCGAACGGAAGATTTTGTTGCACTTGTTCTGTCGACGGTCAAAGTTCAATTGAACTCACAACTGAATATACGAAACGTGTCCATGCAATAATGATTTGAGTTACAGTATGAATAAGAGAATGATCGATACCGTTTTATCATTTTATTTGAGATGTTTCGTTATTTACTCATAACATCATCAGTCAGAAAAAATGGAATAAATATACAAGAAAGAAAGAATAAATAGATAAATAATACAAAGAAAGAGAGATGAACAAAAGAACAAAGACACTTATTAAAAGAAAACGTTTTTCTTTTAAGAAAAGTATTAATTTTTAACGTCCTCCAAAAATATTGTGCTTTGTTCAGAATTAAAATACATTTAAATTAAAGTTTTTCTGTGAGTAATTATACTTGTTTCAATTTCTTCAAATTGTACCAATCGATAAGTAAGGATGTGGGTGTGGGTATGACGATTATCGTCTACACCCCACACCCTTATGATGGCTAATACTATCATCAAGTTCGCGGAGGAGCAATTGGTCCTCCTCTTACATTGACTATCGCCAATTGTTATGTTATTTTAATAAACGAGATATAATTAAGCAAATAAATAATAGTGATGGATTATATTTTAGATATATTGATGATCTATTCATCGCAATTAACTGGCCTATTCGACATTTATTCAAGCCAATCGATAGACAGTATCATTTCGAAGAAAACATCAAATTATCAGAAACTATAAGTTCAACAGCTGATTTTATCGATTTACATATGGAAAATCCAGATGGTCAACTTTTCCCTACAATCTTTCAGAAACCATCTTATGAACCATATTTTTTGCCATTCAACAGCATTCATTCATTGCACATGAAGAATAATATAGCCTTTACTATGTTCGTTCGTGCTATCAGGTACTGTTCAACTCCATTTCGAGGAAATCACAGCGATTTTGATGATTTCCCAAAAAAGGGCGTACAATCGAAATAAGTCAGATTTCTTCAAGAAATCGCCGATAAAATCAGATTTTATCGCAATTTTAATTTTTAAAATGATAGACAATAATCAGCGATATATCGTAACGGTTAATCGCGATTTATCGATACTTTGTACGATTAAATACTCAGTTCTAATTAAGAATAAATAGTATTTAGCACTTTTAAAATAAAAAACCAAATAAAACTGTACTTTCGTCACAGTCGTGATTACTACTCAAAAAAAACAAATTTTCGTTTATTTTTCAATCTGTTGATGTCACCACCATCAATGTAGCTGATTGAGCAATCGTTGACGATCAGCTGTTCGTTAAGTTTTGTTTTGTTTGTCAGTTTGATTTGATACATTATACATTGTTAACCAAGGCAAATTCTCACCGTAGCACAGTTGAAATTCTATAAGTGTTTTGATCACAATAAGTGTAGAGTGAACACTAATTTTCTTTCTCACTACATAGCAGTTCTATTGATTAATGATCATGCAGCTAAATCTATTATAGTGTAAGTATTTCTTGTAATTCATGAATTATTGGAATAAAATGTCTCCGTTGGATTTTAAAAAGCATTATTAGCAATATAATTGTTGGATTTAATGGGCAAACTTTTGAGGATATAGAGAACTGATTTCACAGCAGCTAAGAACATTTTTATTGATAATTTAAACTGACGATTACAATAATACACTATTAAAATAACTCGAGCTTTCGATGAATTTAATCATCATTTTCAAGAGAACTTGTAAAACATTTTTAGATACAATCAAAGGAAAGGAGAAGTAAATGCACATTTATATATATTATGTTTGTACTTAAAAACCTGATGAGTCATGTGATCTAGAACAATCTTCACTATTCTGTTTGAATTTGAACTTGACTTTCTTTTTATTCAACACATCTTCTGGAAAGATAGTTAATGGAGTGAAACGAGTAGTTGCATTGAGATCGGGTTTCAAAGCCATAATAGCTAATGATTCCTTAACTTTCCATCTTTGAGAAGAACTATCCTTAAACAAGATTTTCCAATCCGTATAATTAATTTGATGTTTAAACTCTACTTCATGTCTTGTTAAAGCCAATTTTAAATCAGAACGTTTATACGAATTCGTATTAACGGTTTCCCCTCCCCATATTGAGAAACAACATTCAACTGGTTATCTGATGTTGTTCTGGTCTTAATTCTTTTTTCTTTTTTCTTTTAAACGATCAGATCTTCTTAGCAGTGGTATATCAGTTGAATCTGTTTGAGCTGTTATTATAGATGTTGATTCACTATTAGATGATGATTCACAATAACCATGCTCAATCATCCGTCTAATAGCTTGTCTAGTGGTTTGTCCTATATATTGAGAAGGACAATGATTACATGTCAGATGATAAACAATTTCAGATTGCATATTCTTCGATATAATATCTTTGTTATTAAAATCTTGTCCAACTGTAGGAGGTGGCTGAGGAACTACAAACACTTGATATGAGGTTTCTCTTTTTTTTGCCAATTGTTGTAAACGTCTGATGAAAGGTTTTGTCGATGTACCAATAAATGGTACATTGACCATAACAAATTCTGTTTTTTTTTTAATTAATTCAATTTCTTTTTTCTTCGTAAATGTCATTGATGTACCTTCATTATCTATTTTTAATGACCTATTTAACGTATTTCTAATTTGTCCTTCGACAAAATCTATCGGATACCCATTTTGCACGGCTACTTTTTCGGATCAATTCAAATTCCTCATGCATTAATTCATATGTTGAGCATATTTTAATAGTTCTGTACACCATATTACTAATAGCAGACATCTTATAGCTGCGTGGAACAGAGACCGAAAACGAGTCGAGTACTCGACAAATCGACTCGACTCGACTCGGTTCACGCCGAGTCGAGTCGAGCGCGAGTGCGAAGTTTGAGAAATGTGTCGAGTCGAGTCGAGTCCAGTCAGATCTACTGTCGAGTCGAGTCGAGTCGAATTTGACCCCAACGATTCGACTTTTTAAAAATTTCTTCATAATTCTATCATTTGTTTCTCAATATTAGTCATCGTCATCGTTAGACGAACCGAGATGAGACAATGTCAATTCATTTCAATGAATAGGTTGAACAAAGCATTAAAATGAATAGACAGCGATGAACTGACGACGCTAAATAAACTACAATGAATGATATACACTAGCTTTCATTGTATTCAATGCATTATTGACTGTTCAAAGATTAATTAGAATGCAATGACTTGATTGATCGTCAGCCCATGTAAGTGATCGGCATGTGACGTGCAACAGATTTAATAGTGTATTGCATTATTTCATTATCTATCGCAAAAAGATGATCAAAACAGAATGGATGTTTACATGATCAAATATTTGATCATATTTAGAATATTGAAAGCGATGAAATATGTTAACCATTCCATCCAATAGGACCGTTTCGAATAGTCTTGGAACATTTATGGGGAGAAGAAATCGGCCTGCAGTATTGCCGAAATCGCGCAAGAAAATGATTCAGAATTATTCGAGACGATAATTCCAAGCTCTGAAACCGAGTAGAAAACTTGTAGAAAATTTCTTTTTCTGACAGAGAACCTCCGAAAATCGATAGAAAATCGAAGCAGTACATCAAGTGGAGAGAGCGAAACACTTTTTCGATGACTTCCGACCATCTTTGAGCGACAAAGACAGGATTTTAATGGGAAGACATAGAAAAAAATCTGAGATCTTCAAGTCTCAAATACTGCTTTCAAGAAATTATCGCAATTTTCTGAAGCTGACGGTTTCCTTTTCGTGTGGTCCGACATGGATGTTTCACCACTATGACACAAGTGAAATGTGTGTCTAAATTTCTTCTCATTCTTGATATTAAGAATGTACTTCTAAACATTCGATTTTGAATCGATACTCGGCGGCTCGACTCGACTCGGCTCGAGTCGAGTCGAGTCGAGCCGAGTCAGATGTTTTTTAGATGCATGTCGAGTCGAGCCGAGTCGATTGAATGGTTCAGTCCAGTCGAGTCGAGTCGAGTTGAATTTTTTTGACTCGTTTCGGTCTCTGGCGTGGAACATTAGAGGTCCATTTGGTCAAAAGACCTGAGAAAGTGTTTTTTCGATAAACCTTGGTATTAAATGATTTATCATCCCTTATAGAGTGACGTCATAATCCCGTTACATCGGGTATCCACCGCGAAGCAGCAATTACCTCAAGGGTAATGATATCACTCTGTGCCATGGAAACTATATACTTTTAAAACTTGAGCGTTTTGAGTGGTTTTGGTGTATTACCTCAAGTGTAATGACATCGCTGTGTGCAATATAAACTATATACTTTGTAAAATTGAGCGTTTTGAGTGGCTTTGGTGTGTTACCCCAAGGGTAATGACATCACTCTGTGCAATGGAAACTATATACTTTTTAAAGCTGAGCGTTTTGAGTGGTTTTGGTCTATTACTCCAAGTGTAATGACTATATATTCTAAAAGGTGACCGTTGTGAGTGGTTTTGGTGTATTACCCTGTGGTAATGAGGTCGTTACACCAAATCCACTCAAAACGCTCAACTTTTAGGATATATAGTTATCTGATGGGTAATATGTTCATTACCCTTATATGAACTATATATCTAGAATGTTGAGCGTTTTGAGTGGTTTTGGTGTATTACCCCGGGGTAACGACGTCGTTACACCAAATCCACTCAAAACGCTCAACTTATACGATATATAGTTTATGTAAGGGGTATTGAAGTCATTACTCCTGTTTGTAAATTATAGATCGGGAAAGTGAATACACTTGATTACTCTGCGGGTATTTTGACGGTTGGCTCTCGATACAGAGTGTAATGGTATTATGACATCTATGATATCACAGGACGAATAGATGCTAAAATCTTGATTCTTTTCTTAAAAGATGCATCGTGAAAAGTTCTATAAATAATGTCGAAACAAATCCTCACTAATAAGCTCTGATGATTTTTTCTCTAGTCAAAATGAAACAACTACATACTAGTGCTACTTTCCACCATATTAATATAAAAAAAATGTTTGGAAATGTTTCTTATTAGGTATATATCTTAGCATGGATAAACAATAAAATCTTGATCCCTTTCTTAAAAAGATGCGCCGTCGACGGCTCTATAAACTCTAGATAAAGAAATCTCTGTTAACTTTCTCCCATGATTTTCTTTACTAAACAGTTGTTATCATCTGTGCTGATAATATTTGATCACATTGTTGTCGATATCCGTCCTACTTTTGTTTGTCTCCTCTCTTCGCTTTATTCCTCTCATTTTTTGAAAAACATTCAAGTTAAACGCACACATCTGCCAATATGTACACAGAATGGCTAGACATCAGAGGCGACGACAAAAAAAAACAGAAGGCGCAAAGGAGAAGAGGACGAATATAGACAACAATATGATCAAATATTATCAACACAGGTGATAGTAACCATTTAGTAATAAAAAAAAGCATGAGAGAGAGTCAACGGAGATTTCTTTATCTAGATTTTATAGAACTGTCGACGGCGCAGCTTTGAAGAAAAGAATCAAGGCTTTATCATTTATCCGTCCTGTGATATGTGCAAAATAAAAAACTATGGAAACATTTTCTGACACTCGATATTTGAATGGTATTGATCTCGCAAAGGACTCTTTTTTAATATTCATATAGACTACCGTAATTAAGAAAAAACCTATCGAAACATAAATTCTACTTTTTTTCAAATTTTTGTATCAAAGTCGTAATAGTAGCTCTCTAAAAGTTTTGAATTCTTGGACAGTTTAGAAGCCTCAGGGGGCTTCTAATATGGAAGAGTGGTTTAGTAAAATACCAGAATAATAACCACTCCATTCAGCCTTTCATTCATAAGTAAACAGTTTAGTTTTGAATGTGCGTGTGACTATGGATCTTCACTCTTTCCATATCCATACTCACACCCACAAACACACTCAAAACTGTTGATGAAATCGACAAAGGGTAAAATATCTAAAGAAACAATTAGCATGAAAGGTTAGTTTTATCGTTTTTATTACTAGTGAATTATATTTGAAACGAACGCAAGAAGTTATGATTGTTAAAATACATTATTTTCTAATTACATTTTTATGTAAATTATAGCTATGACAAGAAATAAAGCCAGTAACTTTTCACGACCACCGGTACAGTCAAGTAGGGGTGAGAAGTTATTGTTATTTTTTGTTATTAATAACAATAACAATAACAAAAAAAGTTATTGTTATCAATAACAAATAACAAAAAAAGTTATTGTTATCAATAACAAATAACAAAAAAAGTTATTTGTTATTAATAACAAAAACATAACAAATAACTTTTTTTCCGAAAAATCTTAGTTATGCTTTGTTACTATGTAAAAGTATACCAGTTCTATTTGCTCATTATTGTCCAGTTGCTCGATGATGTTACTAACCGCAATCTCCATTAGATAGCCTATGAAACTGAGAAAAATCCTAAAAAGATCTTTTCAAGTATCTTGCTCACCTACAGGTAAAATTTACTAATCGGTTTACGAGGAACGATTCCTCAATGTTCGACTGCCTTTGACTTGATGTTTTGGTCAAATAAAAGTCTTTGCGAAATGAGATTCTAGGTGCCATTTTTTGAGTTACGATCTGTACAATCTTTCTAGACATTTTCACATCTCCCAAAGGCTTATATTTGACCAACACATCAAGTCAAAGACAATTGAGCATTGAGGAATCGTTCCTCGTAAAGCGATCAGTAAATTTTGCCTATAGATGAGCAAGATACTTGAAAAGATCTTTTTAGGATTTTTCTCAGTTTCATAGGCTATCTAATGGAGATTGCGGTTAGTAACATCATCGAGCAATTGGACAATAATGAGCAAACAGAGCTGGTATACTGTTACATAGTAACAAAGCATAACTAAGATTTTTCGGAAAAACAAGTTATTTGTTATTTTTTTGTTATTAATAACAAATAACTTTTTTTGTTATTTGTTATTGATAACAATAACTTTTTTGTTATTGTTATTAATAACAATAACAATAAATTCACACCCCTACAGTCAAGTACTGCAAAGGCCGTACAAAACACAAAGTATTTTATTCTTTTGAAATCTAACTTCTTTGAATCAATTAAACATATCATAACAATGTTACTGTAACTATGGATTATTAGAAATTTTATTAAAAATTAAAACAAGGCATTGTATGCCTAATCTCTGCACGGAAAAAAACTTAACTGAATTGTTGTTCTTACATTAATTTACCTCTATCTTTTCAAATTCGTCCAAAGAATGCTTTTCAGTCAAGTTAGACTCATTCGAATTTGGTCAGTACTTGCTCCTGCTGCTATGTAACTATTTCTCTCTTCAGTGATCTTAAAAGAAATTCATGAAATCCATCTCTATAAACATTATACTTTTGTATCTAATGTTTCAAAATATTCGTCAAAAGAGCAACAGGTTTCACTGACAACAAATATATAAATATTTTAATTTTTCTGAAAGAAAAACTCGCTATTCAGTAAGAACACATTTTAAAAAATGCACTAAATGCGTCGAACATTCAAATTGTATTTATTGAGGATAAAAAAAACATGTCTCGTTGAAACGCGTTGAAAAAGATGTTTTTTTTTAACTCAAAAAAAAGCGC